CCCTCTCACCATGGGATCCGAGAGGTCATGCTGTGGTTGGCGACCTTGGCGATTGCGCGGATCCTGATAGAGCTCGACGGGGGGTAGTGCTTCTCCTCCTTGACGAACCCACTCCTTGGTCATTCCGGCCGTCCCCGCGAACAGCTCTCGAAACAAGAGTTTTGCCTCAGTACCAGCCGGCCGGACTCCTCGGACTTGGGCTCCGGGAGATGGTTCATTGACTCCCCCGCTCCCTGCGTGCACTGTAGCCGCTGCTGCAAGCGTGCTGTGTTGCCGGACCAAATCGGGTAGAAGGGGGTCCTGATCACCAGCTCGTCGAGGAGGTCGGCAAAGTCGGCATGCAATGCGTCCTGGTGCGCTGACCGGCTGATCATGGCGTGCATGCCAGTAGAAGTTGAAACCCAAAACTGGAGTACTCTGCTTTTCCTCGATAGCCAGCCAGGCGTGCTCATTGAAGTCGGGAGGTGGTTGCAGAAGTACCATATGGCCCCGCCAAATCATCGTCCACACCAGCCATCCTCCTTTCTCCCATGCTGGGCCCACTACCGACTCGACCACCAGATTGCCTCCGTAATCGGCCCTGACAACGATGATCTTGGCGTCTGCGAGCTCCGTCACCGGGAAGACCGCGAGGCTTCTGAAGTCGCGTTCATGTGCGGGGTGAAGTAGGTCATGTAGGTAGACCCGGAGCTCATGTTCAATCGGTGTGATGAATTCGGCCGGTTCCCCCATTTGACTCTGGGCTTCCACTGCAAGTCGAGCCTGGTCCAGTCTCATTTCCTGGGCTCTCTTCTCCACCTCCTCCAACGAAGGCCTGCGTCCTTTCTCTCGCCATAAGGAGCCAGCAGCTAACGTTTTCGTGACACATTGGCGTTTCTCCGGAACTGGTTCAGGGATCTGAAGGATGCCCGCCAACTCTTCGGTCATGAGGACCTCCTCCTGGTAGTCCCAACTGCGCCAAGTGGTGCCGTCCAACTCCACACAGCCTTGCCCGGCTTCCCCTCCGACCCACATCGTGTCTCGCACCGTGAGTCTGGCGTTCTCCCCTGCTCGAGTGGTACCCTGCTTGTCCATGAAAGCCGCCGCCTCGTTGGCCAAGTCCGCCACCCCATAGGCCGCCATCTCGCCCATGAGCTCTTCGAACTGGATGTTGGGGTCCTTGGCAACTCGGGCGGAAGCCCATGCATAGAGATCATCCGAGGCCCCTTGAAGCAGACCTAAGACCGGACCCTGCGAGAGCTGCTCGGCCTCCTGAACCATCTTGGCGGCTCCCTCAGGTGGTTGAAAATCCGGAGGTGGCCAGTAACCTCGGTTCTGATGTGGCACTGGAATCCCCCAGCATTGTTTAGTGGGCCGCACGAAGTCCTGCACGTCCTCCTGCTTCGTATAGTCGACGGCTTCAAACTCCTCCGGGATGTCGTTGAACCTCACGCCAGGGTGTCCTCCAGCCTTCGTGTTCTCCGCCTCGTCGTTCTGCTCCTCATGCTCCGCACCTGCCTTTCTCTTCGGCTTTGCCATCTTCGCAGCCTTGTCCTTCTGAGTGGCATGTCGGAGCTGCTGGATCTTTTCCTTGGCACTCTCCTGGCTCTCAGGTTTCATCCTCTTAAGGCCTCCCCGTCGGATCAGCTGCATTTGCACCGCCGGGTCCAGCGCTTCCAGTGTTCCCCTCAAGCCTTCATGAGCTCTCTGGCAGGTCGTAGAGGAGCACCCAGAGTGGGTAAGGTACCCCCAGCATAACAATGTTCCCCCTTTGCTCACGGGTGCCCTGTCACGGGCTCTGTTCACCTCCTCCTGGGTCAGCTTTGGTCCTAACATAGTGGGGTTGGCCTTGCCTCCTCCTCTGCCTTCTTCATTTTCTTTGCCTCCTCCGGCATGCAACCCAGGGCCTTGCTTCCGGTCACCCCCCCATGTGAGGCGCCACAGTGCCCTTTCTTGTCTCCTCTCAATGCGTGGCTCTAGCTCCACCTTGAACCATCCATTGGGGTTGAGCAGGTCGAAGGTCCTCGGCAGCTCCAGCCAGGCTCTCCCATCAGGTCCTGGCAACAAGGCGTGGAAGCGGATCTCTGACAAAGACATGGATTCACGCTTGGCCGTCTTCTTGAGCTGTCTCAGGAGCTCTTTCATTTCTTCGATGAACCGCCAGTGGAGCTCTTCCCATGCCTCCATCACAATTTGGAGCGGCCACTTGTGAGGTAGTTCCTGATGCCACCCGCTGAGGAGCTCCAGGGCGTGTTGCCGCACTTCCAGCCATTCCATGCCGTAGGTGAGGGCCCAAACCTGGTTTTGCCTGGTCACCCGCGACACCCAGTCGTCGAGTCTGGTCGGAGGGGCTGGCCGCTGCTCGCTTTGTTGCTTTGTGGTCCGAGACTCCGAAGCAAAGGCGTCCAACTCGGCATCGGTGACCTGCACGAAGTCAGCCGCCGACAGCGCGAACTTGTCCGACGTGCCCCAATAGGGGCCCGCCAAGCCGACAGCTAACCTGGCTGAGATTTTTTGGCGAAATCCTAGGGCTCGGAGCTTGGTGGAGGCCCCTACCTGGGCAGAAAGCAAAGCGTTTGCAAGGGCTGATCCGACATCACCTGGGCATACTTTCACATCATACTGATCGCATGCCCGCATCAGATAGACCAGTTCTTCGGACATCTTGCTGAGCCCCTTTATGGAGCCCTGGGGATGGATGCCTCCTTCTTGTTGATTCCTGACCAACGATGCGATTTCCGACGTTTGGTTTTGGATCGCCTGGGTCAGCTTTGCCATCGGGTCATAGGTCTCCTCCCGTGCCCCAGCCTTCCTGTCGGACTCCCGGCCGTAGATCCTAGGCGGAGAGATCATCAGGTTGCCGACCCCCTCCTTTGCCACCACTTCCGGGCTCGAGGCTTGTGAGGTTTGAGAATTGGCGCTGTTCACACTCGAGACCACCGTCCAGCTGTTAGGTGGTGTCAGAGTCGGAGTGGGAAAGTGGGGAAGGTCAGGCTCATGCGCCTCCGGCTTCCACAAAGTCAGGAACTTTGACAAACCCTTCTGGCCCTTCCTTTGCTCTTCCCAGGCAAGGCTGTGAAGAGTCCTTGCCACCTCCGCTCAGGTCAGGTTGTGACGTGACCCCAACAGATCTCGTGCTCCACTTTCAGATAGACCTGTAGCCTTGCCGCCTGAGTAGATCTCAAAGAACTCCTCCAAAAGCGACGGCCCCGCTGCATCCTCTGGTGGTGAGTCAAGCAAGCCCAGACGAGCCAAGTTGCGGTGGATCGAGGACTTTGGCGTGTGGCCTGGCGACCTCGATGTCAAACGTGTCCTCTTGGGCTCCTGGTCGTCGTACACAGGTTCCGGTTCGGCCCCTTTCATCTCTCTGAGCAGTGCCCTGGCCTGGTCTCCCGGCTTTTCATCCCTGCCCCGCCCCCGTTCTTCCGTGGAAGCCCCTTTTGGGATCACCTCAAACTCGTCCTCTGCCCGCCGAGAAGTGCTCCTCCGCCTCGATGATGTAGTTCTCCGACGTAGTCCAGTATCGACGTCCTCCATGCGGTCGTCCATGATCTCCGCATCGTCTTCCTCCCCATCCCGCAACCTGACTGGTTCCCGAGACCGAGAACGAGAGGACCGCCGAGGGCGAAGAGCTTCCTCATGGTGCCAGCAAAGCCGTAGACCCTGGACGCCCACGTAGCCAAACCGACAGCACTCTGAGTGGCTACACTTCTTCGACATTCGCTTGAGGATATACTGAGAGGAATGGCTGCCGCACAAAGGGATCGTCTCCTGGGCTCCCAGCTGGTCTTCCTTTAGCAGCTGCGTCCGGTCCTTCGCCATGCCCTTGCAGACGTTGTCGGGCAGTCGTTCGTCCCCATGTTCGGTGCTCCAAAACAGCCTGTGAGCCTGGCAAGCCTCCTCCTCACATTCGGACTCTGGCAACCAACATCTTTGAACCTCCCCAGGCCCAACTCCAGAAACGGGCACCCCATGTCCGTGCTTCCGTGTTGGCCTTCCGCAGGTTGAAGTCCTCAAAGTCCACCTTCTTGGTCAGGCCGTAGATCTTGAAGTGATGTCCAGGTTCTGAACACTCCTCATTCCGGCACAGGTGCACCTTATCGACTCCCAAGAGCTCCTGTAGCAACGAAGGTGATCCTCTCAACGTGTCCACCTCCATCCCCACATAGACCCCGCTGGAGCGAATGGGTGCGACCTCCGATGAAACCTTGAACACGGCCGTGGCGCTCTCCCGCTTGATGACCACCCACTTCTCTTGGCTGCCATGGAACTTGAACTTCCGGAGCTCCGAAGTCTCCGGCACCTGCCCGGTGCCTGGACCGTAGTAGTCCGCCGAGGCCTCCTCCGGGGTGCCCCCAAGCCACTTCTGGGTGTAGAAGATCACCGTGCCAAGAAGTCGAAGCACTCGTCGGGCTAGCCAAATGAAAGTCATCACTACGGCGCAGATGAGCGACACCACTGGCCAGCAGACCGCCCAAATGTAGTGGGCTACAACGCAGCAGCCGAGGAGGATGCACCCTTGGAAGAACCTCTTGCAGCCTGTGCGGACCCCCGCCCATGCACTTCCGAAGAAGGTCCAACCTAAAAAGCTGACAAGAGTGTCGGCTAGGGTCCACAGTCCCCAGTCAAAACCATGGCGGTGGGTCTCGGTAGCCCACCAAGTAGCGTGCTCAGTTCCTTGGGTCATAGTGTCCACCCAGGGTACCGCACTCGGGAAACGCTCCTCCAGGTGGATGCGCCACCAAGGTCGTGGTGGGTCCGATGGTGGGACAGTGGAAGTATTCCACCATCCATGGCCGCCCACCAACGAGGCAGCGACCACCACCAGCCTAGCCACCATGGCCAACGGCCCACCCATACCCTGAAAAGGTCAGCTCGCTGACACTTGGTCCCAAAGGAAAACCCGGTTTGGTTTCCTGTCATGCTCAAAAGCGACGCTTCCCGAAGCTACTATTAGTAGCTGAAACTTGTCTCAAGACACCATAATGGATGAAGGCGTAGCTCTTTTCTTTCCAAGGAACGTCTTCAAAGTCACATCCGACAATCTGCCATTGGTGTCGAAGTTCAGGCTGAGCTCTTTCAAACTGCTCGGGAAGCCTCAGGAAGAGAGGAAAAAAGGCGACATGGTGAAATGTGGCTGAAATGCGCATGAAAAGCATTTGACATGGAACCACATTAGGTCAACCTAAAGTTACACAGATCTAGTTGGACCTAGTAGCATTGAAAACAGATCCTAGATCCACAACAATGGACTTTGCAACTTCCTTGCAGCTGGCTTCCAAAGGATCAATGCATCCAGGATGCCACCTATCAGGGCACCTGAGAAGCCAAAAAATGAAATGGAGCTGATCGTGGTGAGCTGAGCCTAACTGCTCCAGTAACGTTCAAACGATGAGCCTGCAAAAAAGCAGTTTGAAACGCTGCGAGTGACAGAATCCTGCATCAGTAAAGGAGTCATTGTCCTTGAAGTTGATGACTGCCTCGCTTGCTTGAAAGCCGTGCCAACCAGTGGGGCTAGTTAGTTGCAATCCAGATTGAGCCGATGTTTCTCCATTGACACCAGCAAAACGACTCAACTGGCAATGGATAGATTTCTCCAGGATGCTTTCGACAAGCTTGGAGGCATAGCTTTGGCCAGCATCTCCAAGGCCTTCCGGACTTAAGACTGAGACTTCCACCTTTGGGTAAGTAACAAAAAGCTATTAGTAACAAGTGCCACGCTAGTAGTAACAAGTGCCTTACTAGTAGTAACAAAAGTAGTAACAAGTAGGCAAAAAACTGTGACCGAATGTTTGAGTTCATCCTTTGAGAGGTTGGAGGTGTCAAACAACACCGGTTTGATGGAGTTGTTCATACAAAAGCCTTAACACAATTGGAGTATACTCCGATGTTTTGTGAGCCTCAAAAACGAGAATCACGCCTGGTCTGGTTGAATGTAGGAAGACATCTCCTACTGGACCGCTCAAATACCCCCATCTTAGTGGGCTACTCTGGAAAACACCTTATTTTTCCCGGAACTTTGACCCCTCAAAGAACTCTAAAGAACTAGTGGAAGGGGCTACACTTGCTCTCCCCCTGGCCCAGTTTTCCCAACAGTCACTCCTCGTCCCCAAGCTCATCGTTGCGCAGGGTGAGGTCCAAGGAGCTCAAGCCCTGGTGGATCAGTGCCCGATCTTTCCAACATGGGCGCTGATGGATCCATTGAATGCCATTGGCATGTTGCTATATATAGTAACCAAAAGTGGACCAAGAAAACACGGATTCCCCTAAGAGCAGGACATCATAAAGAGTCTGCTGGCGTGGTCTTTCTAAAACTGCTGTGTCCAGAAAACACCCGGCTCAGCAGTGTCGTCCTTGGGAAATCCCACCACCAACTTGCCAAAGCCCTCTTTGGAGATGTGGCACTCCGTCCACCTAGGTGGACATGTGGGTCTGTCACAGCGGCATCCTAATTTTTCTCTAAGCGAGATCGATGGCTCAAACGACAATACGAAAGTAAGGTCATATGATATGGGCTTCGGCTTAGGTCTTTCAATGAACAATCATCTAAGCATGTACTCGACGCCCACTCTGAGAATGGTCATGAATGGTCCAGTGCACCCCTTGTGAGCGTGTTGCCAATCCTTTAGGCAAGCAGCGAGAACTCAAACGCTAAGGCTAAGTGTTTCAAGGTCGCAGGAAGACCTCGGGCATTTGACTGCCAGTAGGTTGGAGGCCAGCGCTATTAGGCTGGAGGCCTTTGCTAGCAAGCTAAGGCTAAGTGTTTCGGGCATTTGACTGCCGAACTCTTCAAGTCAAACATGGTGCCACATCGTTGACTCAAAGAAAGCCCGTTGGAACAATCGACGAGGTCCAGCGAAAAGATGCAACACAAGTGCTACGTCCAGTTTTGACATGGGTCCTGGTGATGGATCAAAACCCTGCATCCCTCTTGACCCAGAATTACACACTCCAAAAGAATTGACCACCCCAAATAGGAGGACATATGGTGTGTGGTCAAAAAGGATTGCAGTAATGTCTTGCAAACAAGGAAAGCCCCCGCAACGAAGCCCTCCTAGATTCCTACATGTCCACTCAAATGACAGAGTAATGTCACAAAAAGCATAAAGAAAAGAATCAGTATTCCCAGGATCCCCTGGAGTTGAAGGATCCCTCTTCGATCTGTGTTGACATCTATTCCTTGGCTGAGGCACCGCTTCCAATGAGAGCTAAGCCTCTGTCGGTGAATTGGTCGGGGCACACGAAGCTGAGGCCTAGCTTCTCAAGGCCTGAAAGCATTCAATCGGGGCCCGACGGCAGTCTCACTCCAACGGCTGAGTTCAGAAAGGTGAGTAACTGTGAGAACAGGGTGGAGGCCATCGCAAGTAGGTTGGAGGCCATCGCTACTAGTAGCAAATAGCTACTAGTAACATCTAGTAACTAATTGATAAAACAGCTACCCACATCTCGAACGGGCACGACACGACTGACGTCGACGTCCGGCTAGGTCCTGGTGGCAAGCTGGAGGCAAACTTCTCCAGTTCCGCATCCGTGCGCCACTCCTCGCGGAAACGCAAAGCTGGCGTCGACCGGCCGCTTTGCGCATCAACTTCTAATCCACTGAAGGCCAGACTCATCGACTTATCGGGATCCAAAGATGTCTGTCTGCCAGTCTATCTGTCTCGCAGTCCGTCTATCTGGTATCGGTAAATCCGCCGACCACCGTGGGGTGAGGCGTGACTGTCGATGTTAGCCTTAGCCTTAAGCCTTAGCCTTAGCCTTAGACCTTAGACCTAGTCCTTAGCCTTAGACCTAGACCTAGACCTTACCTCCCCTACCCCTCCGGACCCTTGTTGCAGTGACGAAATCCTGCCGGGAAAGCGACCTGGATTGTCCAAGAATCTGCCATCCCAATTGATTTACATCTTGGGGCACCCTCTCGACCCGCGCGGGAAAATAAGCGCGGTCCAAAATGGTCCTGGGCTCGAATCCCGGGCTGGTCGCGGCATGGTCCCGGCCAATGCCCTTGCTTTTTCGTAGATTTTGTCACGTTTTCTGTTGGTTTATGAGATTTTCAAAGGCTTTTCTGGCATTTTCCTAGGAATGCTCTAGGCTTTGTCTTTTTGGGTACCTGCTTTGGTGGTGCTGGGTTGGGTCTAAATTGGTAAACCTGGGAGGTACCCAAAAAGTCGACTTTTTGGGTACCTGCTTTGGTGGTGAAGGGTTGGGTCTAAATTCTTGGGCAATGATCGGGGTTCATGCAAGAGCTGACGTCCGATGGTAAATCTGGGAGGTACCCAAAAAGTCGACTTTTTGGGTACCTGCTTTGGTGATGCTGGGTTGGGTCTGCACTCTTAAGGCTAAGGCTAGGGCTTAAGGCTAAGGCTAACATAGAGCAAGGCTAGCGCTAAGGTTCTATCCCTTGGGGGTCGGCGGCTGCAGGCGGTAGCCTGGTAAATACTATCTCTGTATCTGGTATCTAGTCTCAGATAGAAAACAAACTCCTGGTTAAACTCGCTTGCCGGCTTTGGTGTTCATTGCGCTGTGCTGAGATCTGTGACCCCTAGAAGTCCAAAGAGTACATTTTGCTTCACCAAAAGTAAACGAAATTCCTTTTGAGGTCACCTAGTCACACGTGATTGAAAAGTGTCGGGAAGATCGAAATCGATGTCAACTGTCAACCTCTCCTCGATGTGATCCTCAAAGGTTCGGAACATCCAACTGATGAAGTAGCTCAAAGGCACCTGCAAGATGTGATCAAGGTCAATGCATACAGCGGACTCAGCGGACCCTGGTTGATTGAATGAATCAATCTGCCAGGGTTTAAGGTTCATCTGATTCCTGTATATCAAAGCAAAGACGCTCTGTGCTAGCTGGCCTTCAAAAAAGCCCCTTTTTCTGCAAGGCTAGCTTGTGGTCGCTTCCTGGCGAGGTGTTGTTAAACACGAGACCGGCCACAAAGCACTGTCTTTGAGTGCTTGTGACTGGCTGGAATTCTATTCTATTTCATGCCCAAAGCAGCACTGTAGGCCTCTGGTGTCAGAAACACCACAGTGTTGGGATAGTCCGGATCTGTGGATCGAACCTCTCTTCCGTGACCACTTTGGCCAGAACCACTCGTCCCCTTTGGCCTCGATCGGCAGTCATCAAAATCATAGCACTTCTGAACTGCTTCGCTGCCATTGGAGCCTCGGAAGTCCTTGCTGGCGTTCTGGTTCACGCAGTAGTGTTCTGGCCCAACCGATGCTCCATACAGCTCACGCCACAGGGAGCGATGTGTCAGGCACTTCTCGTTTGGGACCGCCCAATATCCCTCCGTGCGATGCTTGTGACCAGAGCTGTAAAAAGAGACCACAGAAGTCGGTTTGCCAAAGAAGTCATTCAGCCGCGGAGCTGACGGGCACACATCCAACCCAGTAGCTCTAGTGTCAGTTTCGCAGAAAAAAGCATGGGGATCGTCTCGAAGCCAGGACAAAATACCCATCTTGAGCCCAAAGGTCTTTGACACCTGGACAAATAAAGCAAATTATATAAGTGACCAAGTCAATCAAGTCCCTTTCAACAATATTCAACAATAATATATAATTGTTGTGTGTGAAGCAAGCACTATGGTAGGGAACCAATCAATGGGCATCGCCATGCGGCTTTCCACCTTTCAAAGCTCCTCCTACTTGGCCGTCTGTGGTATTTGGAAACACTTCTTTGGATGATTGAACCCCTGAATTGGCTGCGGCAAAAACCCTAGTCAATAACCTCAAGAGTCGACACGCCCAGATTCTTGCAAGACACAATCTCTACAAATCATCTAACCGGTGAAAGACCC